TTTTTTTTTTTTTTTTTTTTTTTTTTGCTTTTTTTTGCACAAGCAGATTCTGGCAGTATGTCTCGGTCATCTCTTCCAGTGTGGATCCTGTGTAGCTGGATCTTTGTGGTATTGTGTCCTGGATCTGTCAGCATATGTGGGCTTGCTCGTTGCACTGTGTGGTGGCATCTGTGTGAGAGCAGGAGAGCAGGGGAAAGGATCCTTCCTCAGGAAGCTACTGCACCAGCCTCCCACTCTTCTTAGGGGCAGGAGAAGGCACTCTGAGAGAAAGAAGGGGGCCCGAGACTCAAGCCCAAGGGGCTGTGCAAGACAGCGCACAGGAAATAGGTGGAGGCAGTGAACAGATGGGCTCCCCAGCCTGGGGAGGTGGAGGCCTTCAGGGAAGTGTCCATTCTCTAAGGTCTCCAAGAAACCCCAGCCAAGGCTGCTCCACTGCCCAGAAGTCCCTGTACCTCCTTTGCACCCACCCCCAAATCTGAATTCACCTCCTTCCTTTAGGAAATCAGTTCTGCACACCTAGGCCCACCCCTGGGGGTTTCTGTCTTTCTTCCTCAGTCTTAGGAGACCGGGAGACACACAGGCAGACTGCAAGGGGCTAAGCAGCCAGGGCCTGGAAGGAAGGCAGCCCTGACTGGCCTACAGCCACCTTCCAAATGAGCTCACACACATACTTTCCACCCTGGCCTAACACCATTGGCTCAGCTCCTTCCAGGCCAGTCTTCCCCAGCCAGGCTCAGCCTGCTCTGTCCTCCCCTGCCGCCAGTCCCAGGCCCACAGGCTCCTTAGCTGGATCACTGGACACCTCAGGCCAGGATTGTCATTATGACCCCAGGGAGCATCTTCCTCCACCTCCTGTGATGCCAGCTCCCTGCAAACTCCCTATTCCTCAGCCCTCCAGGCCTTCACGTGGCTCTGAGGTAGAGGGAGTGACAAGCTCCCTGAGCCCAAAGACCCACACCTGGGTAGGGAAGAAAGGCAGAACACAGGACATTGCAGTGAATGGGCGGAAGGGCTTCCTTCGAATGCCCACAGTTGCTCGCTGACTCAGGGACCAGACCACATCTGGAAGCTGCCTCACTGTGGGTCATATCCTGCTCGATCACTTGATTTCCCACTTAGGGCTATTTCCCAGACCTAGGGCAGGAGGGGCCTGGGTGGGGGTAAGGCCAGGCTGCCCACCAAGAGGAGGAAAGACCAGTGCCTCGGAAGACCTAGTGGATTCACAACGCACACCACAGACTCTGTTTGCCTCTGTTTATTCTGCAGTCCAGCGCCTTCATCCCGCTGCCGGAGATGAGTACAACTGGGCCAGCGAACAAGCACAGTCCCCGGTGCTCTCCTGGTTTGCTCAGTGCCTGACTATGCTGTCCCGACCATATCCGGGATCCAATAATGTCACTGGGGCCTTTGAGTTAGGATGGTATATTCAGATGTGGGGACAATTCTTCCCACTTTAGATCCCCAAACTATGGCCATTGGAAGTTAATCACATAGCTACTGCCTGCCTTTACCAGGCTCTGACGGCACAGTTCTGTCAAAGAATTCCTGCAACTCATGATTTCCCATCACAGCCACTGACAGATGGGCTCTGTCCTCTCCTCCCTTATAAAAAAGATGTTGCTGGGCATGCTGAAGGCCCACAGGAAGTGTGTTGACCTGAATGTCCAGTGGTAGTTGTGATTATGTAAGTATTGTATGCATATGTACAGAAGAACTGTGCACACATCAGCAGGGAATACAAAAGGCAATAATCACTGGGGTGTACATTTACTCTTCGTGGATTTTGTGAACATCACTGTAAGTTTTACCTCAGTCTTTAAAAATTTTTGTTGTTGTTTTGGCTTGGGGGGGCTATTTTTGTTTTGGTTTTTTTTGGTAGCTTTTTTGGTACTGGGGATTGAAGGGTTTGGTTTTTTGAAATAAAGTCTTGCTGCATAGTTCAGGCTAGCTTTGGACTCATTACTTAACCCAGGCTGGCCTTGAACTCGCTGTGATCCTCCTGCCTCAGCCTCCTGAGTGCTAGCCTCCCAAGAATGTGGGCCACCATGCCTGGCTCTTAAAAGAATTTTTTACAAAGAAAAACTACACTGGGGTAAAGAGGCTCATACCCCCAGAACCCTGTAGAGCTCCCCATCCTCAATTCACCCTTAATCTGGGACAGCTCGGTGTTAGGTTGTATTGATCTAGCTATTTGGGAAATGCCAAGACTTCAGGTTGTGCCCCAGCCCGGCCTGGCAGGCCCGCAGGGAGGTCTCCTAGCTACACCCCTCTGAGCTCCCTGGCAGATGTCCTCAACTTTTTCCTCCACTCTCAGGGCCTAAATTGCAGACGCCCCCACGCACCCGCCTTTCGGTCCCCGCCCCGCGGAACAGCAGATAGCAGCCTGGCAGGGCGTGCGGGGCGGTGGCGCCCCCTTGTGTTGGGCATCGGAACCGCATCCGGCCAGGACCTGAGTGGTAGGGCAGAGCCATCCCGGCCCGGCCAGGGCTGGGACACCACCCACAGCTCCCCCAACGGTGCTTCCACCCTGACACCTGTACTTAAAGGGGCGGAGCTCTGGGCGAGACAGGCAGACGAGCTGTTCTCAGCTTTCCAGCTTCCGAGAGGGAAGTCAGAGTTTCCGTCCGCTGTCCGCCTGCGGGGGCTGCGGGGAGAGCAGCACGCGCCACCGCCCGGAAGCGCAGGGTCCGGGGAGGACAAGGGAGGGAGACGCTGTTTTCGGGCCTGTCCTCGGGGCTCCTGTATGTCACACTGCCCCCGCGTGGATTCCTCCCACACTGACAGCTCCAGGATGCCTGCGCCCTAGGCCGAAGGGTGGAGGCCAGGGGAGACTGCCCAATGCTATCAGAGCGAGGGGAGCCTTCCGTCCACCGAATTTGAGTGGGACGTTTCTGTTCCACCTCCCCGAGGCCTTTGGAGACCACAGCCATGTGTCATGGGGGCCTGCAACCTGCACCCATCCTCCTGTCCTCGTCCCCATCTAGGGGACAAGAGAATCCCTTCATCCCAATTTGTTTCCCACCCAACCCCACCCTACCTCCTTTTTTCTTTTTTTTTTAACAGAGGCTCTTGTGTAGCTCAGGCCTCGAACTCAGGACGATCCTCCTGCCTCAGAGTGCTGAGGTTACAGGCTTGTGCCCAGCTCCATCCAGTCTCTGTAGAAATGTCCTGAAGTTTCTAGATCTGTAGTTTAAAAAAAAAAAAACAACTGCAGGTATCTTGTATTGCAGTTTGTGCTAATATATCTCATTTATGAAATGTTAATATTTTAAATATAACAAATGTCTTAAAAACTATCTTAGTATTTCTTAACTTTGTGATATACCAGATTGAAATGCATCTCATTCGTTGCTGAAGCACAAGCCACCTCCCATAACCATATGGTAGGGTCTTCAACTCCAGTCTCCAGACATAGAGGTTTCCCTGTCTTGAAAAGCTCTCTCCTGGACGTTGTTTGCAGATATTGCATAGTTTCCCCCATTTTTTCCTATCCTCATAAGCCAAAAATTTTAAAGCTGTCTACATTCCTTCGCTTTTTTTTTTAAGTTACTAGGGATTGACCCCAAGTATTTGTGTGTATGCTAGGCAAGCACTCTGCCACTTAGCTGCACCCACAGCCCGTTTCTCTTTTTAATTTCATTGAGAGATACGGTGTCAATCAGTTGCCCAGGCTGGCCTCAAACAATCCTCCTGCCTCGGCCTTCAGAATAGCTGGGATTACAGGCACATGCCACTGGGCAAGCTCTTGAAGTCAAGCTCTACATCTGTAACACAAATCCAGGCATTGACTGAAACTGCTTCCTTCTGGAAAGGCCTTCCTGAGCTCAGGGACTTTTCCTGACCTCCACTTGCACCGGCCTTGTTTTCCACCTAACACAGCTTGCCTCCAAAAGCTCCCCTGGCCCTGTCCAACCTGACAGTGAACGAAGAGCCCTGAAGGCAGGGCAGGTGCCCCTTTCTGTCCACTGAGGCCCACAACTTCTATGCTTCAAGCAGCGAGTTGGCTGACCTTCCTCATCTGCTTTGTTAATTCCAGTTGTGGTCCTTCAAATTGTACAAAATAAACAAATTCTCCTTCCATATTACAGCTTGTTAAATATATGAATCCAGTTTTCATGCCTCCTCCTCCTTCTTCCTCTTCCTGTCCTTCTCCCTGTCCTTTTTTTTTTTTTTTTTTTTTTTT